AAGCTGTTGTGACTATTGCAGCCATTCCTTCAGTCACGATTCCGATGATGCGGAAAATCAGCAACTTGGCCTATTACTGACCCCCGTTAAGAATGCTTTACGTGTCTATTTCTTGTTTTCAGAATGCAAAACATCGGCATTCAAATCAAATAAAAGCAAAACATTTAAAGGTAAGGTAATTTTCTTCGGTAATGCAGCCACGTAAATTCATCGAGCCTCAAAATGGTGGCTTATAGCGGGAATGGAAAGAAGTGAATGATGTGTTTTCTAAATCTCAAAAATTAACCTACCTAATAAAATAAATCTCTGAACACAACCCGATAAAGCAATTACGGATAATTCTAATAAAAAAGGGCGAAATTAATTTTTCATGCCTTATAAGTGAACAGGAGAAGGCTACTTTTCTTCTCTTCTGCTTCTAACTCTCCTCCTTTCTCCTCTCACCATCATGTTAAATTGGTCCTCTACTCTCGTTGACTACTCGCAGCCAAGCCAAAAGACCCAAAACATATAAGCATAAAAGTGATGTACCTTAAAATGCGCTCGCGTTCTTGACGCTGCCAACGACGACTGCTTATGTGAGTTTGGTTCCTGTCACTGAAAGGACGCAGTCCGAGGCTGGCACTTTTACAGTTCACGTACATATCGACTTTGTTCGAAGTTGGGTGCGTTAAGCCTTAAATCATGCATATATTTATGTATATAATCAATGTTCAGTGAAACATTCAATAAATATACATCGCTAATTTCGTGCAGAGTAATGCACAAGCATTTTCGTTATTGTCGACGAGTGAGAAAGAAAGTATTATTTCGCTGAACACCCTGCTTTTCACTACATGTCGCACAAAGCGGTTCATAAAAAAGTGTAGGAATTTGTTAATTAAAAACATCACAGCAGGCACCCAAAGCTCACGGATATGATTCACCTAAAACTGATGAATTTATACATTTTGTAGCAGATTGGCGACTTCGCTACGCTTGCCACAGTTGCTGCTGATAGTGCCTTTAAAAATAAGGTAATTCTGGCAAATGAGATGGAAATGAAGATCAGAGCTCTCACCATTAACTTCATGAAAACAAGAATGCTACAACACGAGTGTATACTACGTAGTGAAACTCGTCTATCTACCTTGAAAACCATGAATGACAAATGTCACGGTGAGGATTCAAATCCAAATGATTTCGACCGTGAGATTTTTGACTTTCAAGCCATGCAAAACTGAAGCACAGTATCTAACGCAAGGAAGCAAAATACCATTTCTGTAGGCATTTTCGTAATCTGGAAAGCGTCTCCGCCTTTTACGCTTGCGGCCGTAGTCTCGATATGTTGGCCTTTTCAAAGGAATGCGATCATTTCTGCGCATCGGCCTGATACTGCAGCGCTGATCGATGTCTGTCTTCGTCGAAGTCGAAGAAGTTACTAAAAGTCAAACAGTAGTACAGAAATAATCCAAGATATAAATTCTGTCGACACATTTGTTAACCTATACTATTTCTAACGTTATGAAGGGGAGAGGATACCGTTAGCTGCAGTCTTTCAGTCGAAAGTTCTATTTTTTTCAAAAACCAACACTAACTTTTTGGTGCACCTCTTCAACCGATTTCCTTCGGTAATTTTGCGTGCAATTTCACTTCCAGGACGTGCTCTTTCCATGTCATATAGTAGACGATTTCTTAAACCCTTCAATGCCACAGCTTCACTTGATACGGATAAGGGTGTTTGCTTGTGTAATGCTTCGCTTGAAAGTGCCGTGCACATTAATGGGCAATGATTCATATTTCCCGGCCTGAAAAATCACCCCCCTGTCGTTCGAGTGAACTTTTTTTCTGGTTCTTTTCTTCCAGAAAAAACTTCCCCAGTTATTTTGTAATTTATAAATCTAGCCTAGATAAATTTTGTTATTCTTATAAGTTAATAATACATAGTTTACTATGACTCATTTATTAGGTTAATGCGACATAACAAAGTATTTAATTTTTTGCTACGGC